TGCCCGTCTCCGCGCCCTGTGAGAGCAGGGCGCTGCGGGGCGAGGGCTGGCTGCCCGCAGCCAACGCTCCGGGGAAAGCGAGCCGTCCCGCCGCCTTGTCCAGCGACCCCGAGCTTCGGATATTAAATTTCAGCACCCTCAGCTGGAGATGCGCTTACTGTCTTTGTGCACAGCGCAGAGATTTAGGAACAGCGCAGCGGAAATTCTTTCTTTAGAGCTGTCGGAATCCAGCTCTGGAGTGAGAAAAATCCTCCGTGGTCTAAGCAGAAGCGTTTATGGCTGAACAGCTTTTTAACGCCCCGTGCATTCGACGTGTCTAAAACTGCAGCGTATTTCTGCAGTCACTGAGATACTGCAGAAGAAACGAGAGATTTAGAATTACTTTTAATTAAATGCTGAAAGCGAACACAGAAGTGCAGAAGACCCTGTGTGTTGGCTTTACCAGGCAGGGTGGTGGGTAAGGTCGTTACGTTCAGGTTTAGAATTACTGTTTGTTATTCTCTTGTAGTATTTCACGAGGCGAGAAGAATTATTGTCTCATTTCTTAGGCAGAAGTCAGTCTACTTAAAAGAGACATATTTATTTCCAGGTTATATAGGACGATCAGTAAGGCAGCAAAAGGGTCAGTAAAACACACTGCTCTGAACAGCGAGCTCTGCTTCACCCTGGCCAGCAGCAGAGCCAAGCGGGGAAAAAAACCCAGCAGCTGCTGAATTGCAGGCAGGAATCTGACTGCACCCAGCCCGCGGCAACAGGCGGGAACCTCCCCAGACCACTGCTGTTAAACCCCAGCAGCTACAGCCCCCCTCCAGGGAAACCAGCCATTTTTCACAGGTAAGTAAGAACATCCCCAGCTGCCGTTGCTTCAAACTGCAGCCAGTGTCTGGCACTGCTTCAGGCTTATTTCAAAACCACATGCAGCCTATCACAGAGGAGACCTTCTGCGAGCCAGCTGGATTTCTTTTTAAACAAATAAACCCCTCTTGCAAGCCCTTCGTTCTCCTGCGCCACTTTCCTGGAAGTTTCCCTGCGTGCCAAGATTATCGCTCCCCTGAAGCGTGCGAGGTCTTTCTGCTCCGGCAGAAGTTCGCAGTCTGTAGCTGGGGTAACAAGCAGCAGCCTCCTGCACCGCATTCCTCCTGTTTCACTCCTGCTCCTTACAGTCGATGGACCTTCTTGCCAGAGAAGTACTTCTTAGAGAAACGAGAACGCTTTACAAATGCCAAAACCGTTGGAGTCCCAGCCTTTACAAAATACCTGCGAAGATTAAAAGGAGTCCTTTGGCTTCCCTGTAGCTGGCCAAGCGTCACGCAAAGCGAGCGACATCCACCCAGCTCCATCGAGACCGACCTCCCCGCAGCCGACGACGAGCTTTTGCGCTGGTCAGCAGAGCCTTTCGTGGCCGGGGTTACACGCACCCGAGGAGGAGCGGTTTATGAACCAACTCTTCTCCCAGCAGCTACTTCTAAAACAGCCGTTACTCTACCTCCGGAAGGAGGCTCCTCTCATGCCGTGGGCCCGCAGCTCTGCTCCCACGCCGCAGACCACGCCACGAGCGCGGCGCAGCAGGCCTTCTCCAGCCAGCTACAAGCTGGTGCAACTCAATAGCACGGGCTTGACAGCAATTTTTTGGCTTCGCAAACAGCAAATTCTTCTCTCTGAATACCAGCACAACACTTCAAAGTCGGTTTCAGAGTGAAACTGCGCTGCGTGCTGTGCTGGGGGCTGCTCACGCAGCATCAGTAACAGCGAGAGCGTTGTTAACCTTCAACATGTTCTCTTTATATGCTGCTGCCTTTTTTTAATTTTCTGAAAGTAGCACTACATCTACTCGTAGATGGGATCTGAAACAGCTGTGGCTTTTTGTGCTGTGGCTTGTGTGCAGCCCGACTCCCCTTCCCATCTCCATCCAGTCCTGGAAAGAGTTGTTCATTTTTTTGGGTGGGGAAAAAACATAAGTCGCTAAAGCCAGGCACAAAATCCATGTAGTCGCACTGCCTTACACCTTCAAGAGTTAGGATTATTAGATCAGGGAAGAGTTACCAAGTGTTAGGACTATTAAATCAGAGAACAAACTGCACTTCAAGCCCCAAGCTCATACTTCTTGCCTTCGTGCTCTCCCTGGACGTGAACAGGACTGCCTCACCTTTGGTGCTGCAGCACTTGTAGCAGCGTGTGCTCCGGGTTCAGCTCGTGCATTTCTGCTCTTTCCTCATCTTCAAAGTAGAGCTGAGAAAAAAATTGGGAGGGTTATTAAATACTTAATCTAAGCAAACTACTGAGCTGTTGAAAGGCCAGTAACAGCACACCATATATAGATATATATATATAAACACTAGAGGTTTATCAAACTTCTGTACCTTGAACTGACTGTGTCAGACGCTAACTTCAGTAACGTAGGAACTGTTGTGCGCAAATCCCAGATCCTCCCTGTACAAACCAGCTCAGCTTCTGCTGGCAGTGGCAGCAGGAAGGCAAAACACAGTGGCTATTCCCACGCTTTACAGAGAAGCATTCCAAATGTAAGGGCTGCTTTTTAACAGGTGAAATGCAGCAATGGTATGAGCTAAACTGAGCAGGCTTAAAGATATTTGAATAAAATAAGAAGAGATTTAAGAGACTTGAATCCAGCAACAGCGCCTTAGACTGCACATACACAGAGCTATAATCCAAGTTTTTACTCTGGTGAAGTACACAGCCACTGTCCTTTTGGACATCTCTGCCGACTGCAGTCAGGGCTGCACTGTTGCCTGGTGCACGTGACACTGAAGTGGAAAATGAAAAATAAACATCTGTACCCTTCTGTGCACAATTTCAGAAACACTCTCCAAACCTGCTGCAGCCCCAACCAACTGGCACCCCACCTTTGCTACAGTCTTAATTGATATATGTTGTCTTGATGGCATCAAGTGTTTAAGTACCTCCAGTTAGCTCTGCAAACAGCCTATTTTTTTAATAACATTTTCTCATTTGTGTTGAGCAACTTCACAACAACGCGGTTAAAAAACCCGACAGCCGAACCAGCTTGATGGTCTAAATCTTAATTATCGTTATGAAGACGCGAATGTAAGCAATATCTATAAATACCTTCTATCAAATACAGCATATGTGGAAGACAAAAGAAATTTCGTTTTCGTTAATGAATTGTGTGTCCATGTCAGCGCATCTGGAAAATGTTTGTGTTTAGAAGTGAATGTAGCTCTCCAAACCCTTATTTCACACCCATGTACGGTGAAAAGGTAACGATGCCACTGCTTTCGGACATTCAACACTGCGTATTTTCTCATTCCAGAAAAAAAAAAACCAACCCACAACACAACAATCCTGAAATAGCAGGAAAATCAAACTTCTCACCTCAAGATTGCTGGGCAGGTATTTTCTTTCCAAATCCCAGGGAGGCAACTCAGCAAACATCACCATTAAATGATCAATAAACCTAAAAGCCAAAATAGACTTGGTTAGCTTAGGTGCAGTGTTCAGCTTCAATGTTTTGTACAGTTGCATTTGAACGATGGTGAAAATACACCAGAAAGCAAGTTTAGATCTCTAATAGTTTCTTCCCTTCAAACTCACTGCCCTTCCAATGAGACCAAGGCCTTGATGTAACTCCCGCTGTTGGTTTCAAACTTGAGCAGTCCAACAGCAAACTATTTTTAACTTTTCATTTTCACACTGAAAAAAAGATGTCAAAACAAACACCCCTCATTTCGTCTAAAATTGATTTTCCTGCTACACGGTCCCACCAGCGCCACGCTTCATCAGATCAGAGTGCCAGGATCTGCTTGTGTGTCAGAGGCTTGTTTATTTTGGTACTTCAGGAGTGCTGGTGGCAAACCCGTTTTCAATTCCTTTGGTCATGAAAAGCTGTAGTGAACGCTACCATGTAACAACCACAACTTTACTAATCTGCTTGCACTGCAATTTTAAGTCCTAAACTTCTTGGTAGACCTGGGGAATATGCACAAAAAAAAAGTTACAAATTCCAAGTTTATTTAACATTGCAAGACCAGAAACTAAAGTCAATATCAAGAAAAGCAGGATTCCCACCTTGCCCGTCACTTGCTTCTGGTCTGAAAGGTCTGCAGCACCTCAGTCAGCCCTGCTGTAAGCCCTAAGCAAAACTACGGGGTCACTGGCTGTTACAAGAGGTCCCCTTCGGAAGCTTTTTATAATTTTTAAGATTAATCCTCTTTCCGAGACCCCAGGTTTGGAGCGCTTCGAAACAGCGCCTCAATGAACCTCTAAAACCCACGCATGCAGATGGGTCACTGGTATTACTGGCCACCGGTCCAAGCTTGCACTGCAAGCCCCTTTAATCACACTGGCTAAATACGATGTGTTTCTCTGCGCTACACATTTACGTAACGTTGAGACTTCAGCCCTCATATTTTAAAGCAGCACTTGCAAATCATAGAGTAACTCTGGTTGGAAACGACCTCAGGAGGTCACCCAGCGCAACGTGCCGCTCAAAAGCAGGGTCAGCTACTAGATTAGAAACATGGAACTGCTTCCTCAGCATGGCAGCGTTTCACTTGCTGTCTGTTCTCATCTACCCAAACATCTCCTACACGCAAGAACGCTGCTGACCGTGCGTTTACCTGGAGTTCTCATGAAAAGCCGCAACGAAGTCTGTCTGCTCGTGCTCGGGGTACAGGAAGAGGACAGGCCAGTTCAAGTTGCCATCAGCATCTAAGTGCACCTTTGCCCCCGTAGCGTTGTCAGGGTGGAACCCATCCAGGGATATCTCAGCCAGGCCATCTGATATTTCCTCTTCTTCATTTGAAGGCTCAAGAACCAGCTTGATATTTCTCTCCTGGAGGGGAGGAAGTTAAAAAACACCCAACCAAAAACCAAACGGGTATGGTGGGAAGAATAAGAGCAAAAAAATTAGCAGTCAGTGAAAGGACAAACTACGTCATTTGTATTAATAAATCAGTTCTTAAACATGCCATCAAAAGCCTTCCTACAGTGTCAAACTCGGGTGACTGGCCTTCCCAGTAGAATCCAGAACCTCAGCCAGACACCCAGACTCCTCATGAAATGGATGAGGAGAGGTGGGAATCCAGAGGAGCCTGAGAAAACGTGGGGAAAGGGATGCATCTGAAATCCTGCTCTTTGGGACCTAGCAGGCGTAACTTCAGGGTGTAACTACATGCACCAGCTCCCGAGAACCTCCACTCTTTCGGAGAACTGCAGAAAGCTCACCCTTTCCTTTGGACAGACAGCTGCAGAATACGAGATCAGATTTCGTGCAACAGCCCAGAACATTTTAACACAGCCCAAACATTTGCTGAGGAAGGAGAGGATCCGGGATTGATTCTCTCCTCCACCCTACTGGATGGTTATCTTCTATCCTTCCACTGACGTGATGCCCGCCAGCAGCGAAGAAAGCAAGGTTCACTGGGCCAGTGTGACGCTACAGCCCAGCAGCCAGAGCATTCTCTTGGATGCTCAGGCCATCTCCTAACACTGGCTTCGTGTTCTGCATTAGCTCTTACCTAAAATATGGAAACAGGCCTGGGGGCTCAGGCTAGAGCCACACAGCTAAGAAGAATCATGGTTTTAAGCAAATTTTTTGGCTCTAGCCCCCAAAAGCCTGTGTATGAGAACAACCTCTTAGAGACAAACAAGAGCGCTCTTAAAAAAACGCCAACAAAACAAACCACACACAACCAGCCCCCCTCACTGACCCACCTTTATCGCTGCAAGCAGAGTTTCCTTCCGACACTGTTCTCTCCTCTCCATCACCTTTGCTTTCCTGGCATCCCGCTCCTCAGCTCGCTACATGTAAGCAAAGGTTGCGCCACGGTCACACACAATGCCCACCACCGCTCCACGCTGCCAACGAGCGCAGAAACCCGCTCAGCTCTCCCAAGGGTTCCCGCCAGCTCCTTCCCCCACTCACCGCAACAGCACACGCTACGCGGAACCACCGCTCCCTTCTGTCTGGGGCTACTACACTGTGCAGGAACTTGCACGGAGCACTCTCCAACCCAGGATCCCAACGTGCTTCTTGACACTAAGCAGGCAACAAGCATCGTAGATGCTCGACTGTCTCAATATTTACCTTTAATCTGTCCGCTTTGACTCTCGTTTCCACAAGCTTTTTCTCTTTGGAATCTATTTGCAAGCCCTCCTCACACCATGTTATTGCTTCAGAGAAATTCTTTAGCTCCATGTGACAGAGAGCTCCTGGAAGGATGAAGATTTTCAGTTTCCAGTATTGGAGTCAGTACACAACCACTACGCAAAGTGCTGATTATGAAGACAGCGTTAGCCCTCGTGCTCTGAAGAGGGACACACAGCAGCACGCGCTATTCTCTTGCGGGGTCATGGCCAGTCGTGGACTTCCAGCAGATCTTTTGGCTGAGAAGAAAATCTGAAATATTTCAGCAGCTCTCATATCACTTGCTCGTCTAGTCACGGAAATCAGCAGAATGATGCTAGAAGTGTCCGTTACAAGCAAAATTTTATCATCATCAGTAACATTTCAGTGCTTGTCTCATAAGGAAAAATAAAGTGGGCATTTCCATGGAGTGGGAAAGGCTGGGGGGGAAAAAAACAAACCAAACCCCAAAAGCTAGATTTGTGGAAACAGTGAAAGTTACGCTGTGCTCTGCAGAAACAGGTCCAATGCCTCTTGGACACATACAGCAGCTGAAGAGCAAAGAGCAGAAAGACAGTGTTGTGACTGAAAACCCAAAGCGAAGCACAGAGCTCTGTTTTAGGGAGAAACAGCAATAACAAAACAGGAGAAGAGATCTGGTACAGCAACAGCTTTCATTTTCTGCAAGAAGTGCTGTCCTGAAACAAAGTATGAACGCACACTGTGAGTAATTTAAGTTTACAAACACTGTTACTCGACACACAGAAACAGGCAGAGAAACACAGCAGCGGCCAACAACGGTCGGTTCCAGGGCTTGTAACAGTAACAGCACAGAAAGTCAAACTAACCTGTGCAAAGCTGTTTTGAAACAGCATTCCTTGCTCTCCACACAGTAACAGGGGCTTTACCTCTTACCTCTTACGATTGCTTTGAGGTGGGTGGGCTTCAGCTTTTTCGCTTGGACGGCATCATTGAGAGCGGAGCGGTAGTTACCTACGAAGAAAGCAAAACTGCTCAGAATCTTTCATTTGTATTTAAAATCCAAGCAGATCCCGAGGTGACAAACCAGCTTACGCGGAGACTCTGTAATTCACTGTTGCTCCAGTCACTGCTAGGCAAGTGGACGAAGAAAGACCAAATTAAGAGCAAGAGGTGAAAGGGCAGGAATCCATCGGACAGGTAAGGGGTCAGTAACAAAAGTGTGAGCAAAGCACCCGCCAGCTGCAACACCCACCAGCATGAAAAGGCCAAGAGCACCCTCCCCGCTGCGCGGATGCTGTTGGCAGGAGGGGTGGTAGCTGGAGGAGGACACAGCCCGGAAGGAGTGACAGAATGTGTCGCTTCGACAGATTTTTGGGGCCAGGGCATTCCCCTGTGGTTCCAGTCACCCTGTGAATCTGTTCAGCACCAAAAGCCACCGGCTTCACCCGCTCCCGGAGCCAAGGCTCCAGCAGCAGGTGAGCGTTGCACGGAAGGAAGCACAAACCCTGCGTGCAGCCGTGCTCTGCCGTGAGCCAGGCCTTCGCGGCTCGAGGTCTCTTTTTCCCACGAATAAGCTATTTAGTCTGCCGTATCACAAAAACAGTAAAGGCAAGCCCAAAGCGGGGAGGGAGAGCGAGCCCCGGTGCGGGGCAGGACGGCGCACGTCCCCTCACCCAGGTGAAACTGTGCGGCCGCTCGGTTGGCGAGCAGGACGGCGTTCAGCTCCGGGTCCTCGCACTTCTTCTTCAGCCCCTCGGTGTAGGCGACCACGGCTCTCCCGTAGTCCCTCTCCCCGAAGTACGCGTTCCCTTCGTTCTTGTACATCCTGGCCAGCTCTGCAGGGGAA